CAGGAATGAAGCTGGATCCTTGAAACTCACTGTGGTGTGCCCCACCTCTGGGAACCCAGCAGAGCTGGACAAAGAGGGAGGCATGCTGGTCAAATGGGTTGGTGGGCTCTGGCCTTCACTGTACTTTTGGCACTCACAGCAAATCCACAGCATCTCCATTTACTTTTGCTCTCCTCCTTAAAAGACCACCTAGAAGTGTTTGCTTGGTTTCAGCCAATACATCCTTCCCACTCTTCCTCTTCCACCTCTGAGTCTGGCTGCTACTACATCAGTCAAAACCCTCCTTCACACCCAGCAGTGTTTTCTTCTGTACACTTGCTGAGGTTTCTACTGTCTCATCATATCTGGGTATAGCCTGTATTTCCTGTTGGCTGCCAAGGAAGGAAGTTTGCCACTTTCTAACCCTACTTCTAATCCTGAGATGACAGCACAGCCAGACTCCATGAGAGAAATCCAGGGAAGGAAATGACTTCACATCAGCATCAAGGAGATGTTTTGCAGGTGTTCACAGCTCTGGCAAAGAGTTTGTAGGAGCTTACACATATTCTGCACGAGAAACCTCCATACACGAAGAGGGACGCATTGCTTTAAATTGCTTTCATACTACAATTTTGAGGTTTATTAAGGACACAAAATAATTTGCAGGTTTTCCATAATAGCTGCGATGCCAGTTCGAACAATAACAAGATCAGAGGGATTGTGCGATGCAATTTGAAACAAAACACAAGGACGTTTTCAAAGGGCAGTTAACCTCACTATCAGCAGACAACTACTCCTGCTGCTGTTTGACACAGCAGTCTCTATTCCGAATTACAGATGGCAGAGTGATAAAATCACCTCCTTCCTACTCAAACACAGTGCAGCTTTTACAATTCCACAGGCAAAAAGATGACAGCAACTAATAAATTACAGTTTAAATTAAATCTGTCTCAGTGAGGACAGGACACTTAGGGAAGTTTCAAGCATGCATCCCTGGAAATGAAGGCAACTGCATGCAGAAGACAAGACACTTAATGGGGGGGGAAAAACAGGTGCAGCAATTCTCAGCAGCACTTCTCTCCTAATGGCTATCCGAGAAGGTGGCTTTGTTTTGTAAGTTCCTGCGAGCCCCTCTCACTTGGAAAATCTTCCTACTTTCACATAATGTCCCATTTTGTTTCAGGGGAGCAGTGAGGGATGAGCATGGCTCTGTCCTCCACCAGGTGGGAACCAGAGGACAAAGGCATTTAAGTGTCTGTGGTCACTGGGGGGCTGTTGCAGCAGCTTCCAGGTGTGACCTAGTTTGTAAATAGTGAGTCTGAAGAGGTGCAAAGCATCCTTTGGCATGTCTGCTCTTTTTCCTGTCCTGGGCTTGTCTCACCCATGTTGGCCACATTGCTGGCCACACCACAGCTTTCCTGAGAGCATATCTGGCTGTCCCCAGCTCTGTGTGCATCCTCAGAGGAGCAGGGCTCCATGGAGCTGAGCAGCACAGGGAAGTTGGAAAAACCCTTCATAGCCCTCTCTTTCCCACCACCTTTGCCAGGGACTCACTGAAACCAAACCATGATCATTGTGCTTTGGCTTGGGCCCTCTGACTCTGGAAATTGTCAGGAGAGACTCCTTGGGCTCTGCAGAGTCTCACTGATTTTATATGAAGTCAATTCCCCTCCTATCCTTGGACAAAAGCAGATGGGAAAATATGCACTTTGGGGTTTACAGGTTTAATGTGTTTCTCTCTTTTTTCAAGGAATTGTCTCTTGTAAGGCAAGATTTTTCCAACAGAATAGCTCCAATTAACCAAGTAACTGAAATATGTGCTTAACTGTAAAAGTCCCCTGATATTAAGCAAAACACTTAATCATGAGCTTAAGTACTTTGCTGAGTCAGGGCTAAGTAGGCATTCACCCTAATTTCAAGGTAGCAATTTGGATTCCAATTTCCATTTCATTGGCCTTAAGGCCTTTCCTTTGACTGGTATTCCTGATAAACCTCAGGGTAAGAAGAACTAATGGCAGGGCTGAGGTGGTGGAAATGTTGGCATTTACATTACTGGGAAGGAGCTAAAACCAGACCTGAATAAAGAGGCTGTTACAGAGGCTGCAATGCCTTTGTGGCCTGTTTCCACCCCCCAGTGACTGTTTAGTCCGTGTGCACTTTGTGCATGGAGAAAGGTCGCAGTGTGAAGAGTCTGTAAGCAAGGGAAACCGCATCAATTTTATTTTATTTCTTTTCCCCCACAGGATTTGCTATTGTAAGGCTGCGTACTACATTTCTACAGCAATAATGCTTGGAATAGTATAAGGAGAGGGGATTAAGGCTTATATGCCCAGAAGAGTCAATGATAAGGAGTATTACAGGGTGAGATCAAATTCTGGCCTGACTTACACCTTCTGGAGGTACCAGGAGTATGAAGCCAGAGAAGAATTTCTCCCCTCCTTGCCTGACCTGGGAAAGGAGAGCTCAGGCAGTCTCGCATTCAGTTGTCGCAGTGGAGCAGATATCACAATCGCAGCGTATGGCTACCGGGTAGGTGTAGAAGGGATCCACATCAGGAGCACACTTGGGTAGCTTCACTGTCATCATCTTGGTCTCATTGTAGGTGCAAACACGGTGGTAAGACTCAATGTAAGGCGGTTCCAACACCGGCTTCTGTAGGGGAGAAATGCTGGCCTCAGACAAGAAGACAAATATTTGGAGTCCCAGTTTCCTCAAGGAGATTTAGTGCAAATAGGGGAGCCACTGGATCAGATGGAAGGGGCCATGGAAATAATTTTTAGGTTACATCCTTCAACACCTGCCTCTCGGAGCCCTGCCGTGGAGGGGAGTGGGTGTCAATGCATCTTTCTGTTTGTTTAAAGCATGAAGCTCCAATTAAAGCTGCTTGATGGAAGACAAACCCTATCCAAAAAGCTGTTTTTCAGCAGAATGCTAGTGTTTCAACCAAATGCACATTTGCCAAAAGCAGCTGCTTTGTTCCAAAAGGACTGATTTTCCATCAAAGAAAATGCATTCTGCTGGAAGCCCTTCCATGTGCACGAGCTGCCTAAAAGCAGAGGGGCATCCAGGTGCCAAACAGCTGTTTTTTCCTCAATCAGACCAGTCTTCCCAGTCAGGCTGCAAGTCCCACAAAGCCCAGTGGATATACTCTATGTGGGATGCACTCAGCACAGCACCCAGCATAGAAACCTGCAGTTCCTCATGAGAAAAAACAGCTTGGACAGAGACCTCAGCCACTGGGAGATGATGGGAGCCCGAAGGCCCTGAAACCCACATTCCCACGAGGTATCACAGTGGCATTGCTTTCACTGAAAAGTGAGTTTTTCCTCCACAGGGTCACCCATTTTCCAAAGACTCCAAGAAGGAGCAGCACAAACAGGAATGGGAGCCCACTGTCATCCTTTCCCTTGCACAGATGGGAAAGAGAATAAGGTAACACAGACTGGAGACATTTTACATTTTTCTTTCCCTCTGTGCTGTGTGAAGAGCCTGCCCTGGGAACCAAGAATAATGGCACAGAAAAGAACAGATGCAACATTTCAGCAAGAAGATATCTAGACAAAGTCCTCCTTACCAACCCCCTCTATCCAAGTACATTGTGGTGCTTTGTAGAAGCTCTTGAGCCTACAACCAGATGCATTAACCTTAACTATATCCCAGTGGTGCTGCAGTATGTTAAGAGAGCCTGCAAAGTTTGTGCTGCCAGAGGAGTTTAGAAGTAGGGGGAACCAAGTGACAAGAGGTCCCTCGAAGAAACTTTATCCCACTGGGGAAATCTGGCCACCAGTGGCCTTTTCCCTCATCCCACCAAGCAGTGAAAGAGGGCAGTAAGAGCTGGCACACAGACCCTGGCTCCTCCTCTGCTCACTTATACAGAGCCCTTGACTTCATGTGGACAAAAATCTGTCTGGAATCACTTGAAGCTTCCCTGAATAAAACTGGGTCTGGCCCCTTGAGCCTTTCAGTGGCAGAAGACAGTCAGAAACTTGTTCTCTGAATTGTGTGTAGATGTACTTACGCTCTTTCTTTCTCCTCCTTTACCCCCCCAAAGCATAACTACTTCATATTTATACAGGGCTGTGACTTAAAACAGGTCCAAATTAGAAACAGACATTACCTTTGGGATTTGCTTTTTTGGAACAAAATATATTACCCATCAATTGGGAGCTCCATCTTAATCTCAAAGGAATTTTTTCCAGTAAAGTAATAAAGGCCTCATCTCCTTAAGTGGTTAAGCTGTAAGAGGCTTTCAAATTGCATAATAACAGCATTACATAAGTGCTTCATTGATATCATCACATGATGTGCATCCCCCTTTGAGGCAGTGGAAGGAGGGAGGAGACAACAGTAAAGTGCTCTGCTGCTGACAGTGTGGTGAGGGGGTTGTGGAGCAGGACACAGCCCTCGACTGTTTCATAGAGAGCTGCAAGCTCTTTAATCTCTGCTGGGGTTTTTATCAGGACTTTTATTAGAGGAGGAAAACATCACTCAGGGATGTCAGTACCAGCCACCCTCCCTCAGCTGCAGGCACAGCCTCACCTCCCAGGTCTCGCAGCGTCCCCAGCACGCGTCCGTCGTCACCCGCAGACCCTTGCAGCCGGGCTTCTGGGCCAGGAAGGTGAACTCCCGCACAGCGCAGCCGATGAAGGTGCGCAGGTCGATGGCAGAGGATTTGAGCGTGCCACCGCAGCCAGCCAGCAGCAGGAGAAGAGCACCCAGGATCATATAGTGGAGCTTCATGCTGAGGCAGAAGGGAGAGAAGCAAAGGGTTGGGAGAGCCAGCGCAGTCCAGGAGGCAAGAAGGGCAAGTGCACAGGCTCAGATCCAGGGCTGGGATGCCCCTTCCTGCCCTCAGACACACTGTTCCCCATCCTCACTCAGCCCAAGAGAAGATGGGCAGATGTATGAATGAGGGGTCGCCTACTCCCAGATGGGGAAAATCTTAGTGAAAAGGTCTAATAGAAAGCAGCAGCAGACTTTCCCTGTAGAGCTGTAGGCTTTGTCAGGAAGAGATAAAGCCACCTGCCAGTGCCTCAGACCCACTGAAATCTCCATATTGCAAGTCTACTTTACAGCAAATGCCTCCTACCACCCTGCTGGGTCGCCTTGAGCTTGCACCAGGCCAATGGTTGGGTAGGCCTTTGGTGGCTCTCAGTGTTGTTGGGTGAATACCCTGGCAGTACTGGCCCTGGCAGGGTCAGTCTGGAAGGTCTCTGTCTGTCTGTCTGTCTCCCACACCTATGGAAGGTGCCAGGTTCCCTACATTGCTGCACAGGGAGGAAGCAGCATGGCTGCAGCTCCATGCATTCAGCAGGGTTAGGTCTGCAGGTAACATCAACGTTTTGACAAGAGCACTTAATCCTGGTTTTTTCCCCACTTACCTTTTAGCAGCCAAGTGCCCCTGAATTTGTGCTATCATCTCTGGAGAGAGATGAGCACCTCCCAGAAGTGTTACTGGAGTTGCCTTTACCAATAACCTGAGCGCTGGATTTGTCCTAGTCCACTCCCAGGGCTGCAGCCAGGGAGGAAAATGCAACTGTTGGTTGTCCCACCTGCACACACTGCCCTACCAGCCAGCTTAGACCCAACCAAGGCTGCTAGGCTTGAACAGAGCTGGTTAGATGGAGGGGACATGGCCAAGGTGACCAGAGGAGGCTTGAACTCCTTATACCTTCCAAGCAACCCAGCATCAGCCAGGTCCCCTTGCTGCCTTTCCATCTCAAACCACCAGTGAAGAAAGCAAACAGCCTCTCTGGGAAACTGTCAAAAAAAAAAAAAAAAGAGCTGGAAAGTAGCTCTAAGCCACAAGATCCATTTTATACATCCCATACTTGAATTGCATTTTAAAATGTCCACCTAGAAACCCCAGACTTGATATTTAACTTTGAGAAAGTCAGCTACTGCACAGGGCACACAGACTTGTGTGCATTGGGCTGTGTTCTCAGCTGGATAATATTTAAGTTAAATGAGCTTGGCCTGCCTTTTGCCTGACCAATGTTTTGAGTCTCTAGGCTCCTGTTAAACCAAATGCTTTAAATTTGCTAAAACAGAGTTTTAGATCAGCACATGAAGTTTGCTTCAGTGAACCCTTTATATATGTGGCCATGCATACACTACATGCATACACTCACTACAAGTGATTAAATAAGTGTATGCTTATATATAAGCTTCGAGTAAAAAAAAAAAAAAGAGCTAATTTTTTATATTTTTAAAAGCAGACATTTGAGAGCAAAAGAGACAAACTTCAGAACAAATCGAACATTTATTCTTTGCCACGTTAGCAAAACCTGCTGCTTTATTCATGAGCCAGAGCCATGACACAGAGCAAACACAGAAGCACACTCACCTAACTTGTTGGAGTCAGGTCTCCTTTTGCAGTTTTAAATTGCAGATGGTGTTTCAGGACTTCAGAGTGAGCAGCAGGAGACCTGCACAGCAATTGTTGTCAGCTCTGTGCTCAGCAGATCTCCCTGCCAGCTACTACTGGGTTGCTTAATTGCTCAAATTTATAGAAAGGGTCTTGTCAATCAAGGCAAGACGGATCCTTACTTTAACTACCCAAGGCATCCGTTGTTGACTGTAAAGCAAGCATCTCCTTTCCAAAAGCAATTAGCTTAAAGGGTATTGTTTCATAACATCAGCCCTGAAACAAAAGGAGGATCTTGGTGAGTGAAATGATGAGCATGCACTGGGGCAAAGTGGGTCTTCTTTTCCTAGTGGAATTGCAAGATCTTTGCAAGGAGATTGGAGACTGGCTCTGAAATCATCATTATCCCCCTAATTAACAAGCCCTGAGTAAACACCCTGAAGGGACACTTTTCAAATATCTGTGCAAACAAACCCCTGAATTTTTGACAACTGCATAAGACCTTTTTTTTACTCAATTGCTCTGTACAAACAAGGGCAAGGGACGGGGAGAGGAGGTGTGGGTTTGCAAGAAAAGCAAATGGTCTTTTGCCGAGCCAGGCAGCTGTCACACAGGTAAGCCCCACTGTGCAAAGGCAATTTGAAAATCATGTCCATTGCCTTCACCATGCAAACAGAATTTTCCCAGTATTCTTGCTTATTATTATTCATAGTCTTGCTAGCAGCAAAGGACTCCAGCTTCAGTGAAGACCTATCAGGTGGGACGTTGGAGGAGGAATACTGAATGGAGGTATTGTAATTGTCTCTGTAGATGTGATCATCAGACCTATCCTAGACAGATTTTTCTCCCATTGAAACCAACAGGGAAAAGCAGGAGATTCAAAGCCAACTCAGACCACAGGGAGGTCAAGAAGAACAGTCAAAGTCTTGCCACTGATCTAAAAATACCAGCAACTTTCCACAAAAAAAAAAAACAACCTGAAACTTTTTTGCTGTAATTTTCACTGACCAAAAATAAAGCTAGGAAAGAAATATTTAAAGACTTTTTAAAAATGTACAGTTTTAAAGTTCTTGTCTAGCAAAGAAAGCAGGTAGAAGTGAAAATATTGGTAATAAGTTCCCTTTATTTTATTCTGGAAATGTGCCAGCAAAAATCAGTCCAAGATTAGAGACAGGTACAGGAAATACATGCCAGATGGCAGATCAACCAGCTTTGACAGATCCCTTTTCTTCTATAGATTAGAAAAGCAGGTGCTGGATTTTCGGTTTGTGTAATTCAGTTTGGATTGCCTGACTTCAGCTAACGAAGTTTCTGTTCTGTTGTCTCCATTTGTCCTGAACCTCATAATGTAAAATGAAAGACAAACTGCAGACTCTCACTTATTTTCCCTTTTGAAAATTCTACCTTTTCATGGGATAGACACTGATTTCTGAAGGATTTGCATCGTATCTCATGAAAAGCATGAGTGTTGGCTTTTCCCCAGGCAAAGTTTTGTTGGCCTATTGTTTTGTGCTTTTTTAAAATTTAAGTTAATTAATAAATATACTACATACACATATGCTTGGCCTTCAGTCTACATCAGACATTTAAAAGCTGCATATTTTTTATTTCCCTGGATCTTTTGAATTTGTTTGAAATAAAAGGTGACATATAGATAAAACACGTAAAGATTATCTGCCCTTTCCCTTTTTGAGACACACAGAAGGAGACAGAAACAGATTGACCTGGAGAGCACGCCTCATGCATCCACTCATCCATTCAGGCATGCGTGGCTTTTCCTCTGAATTCTGGACAGGCAGAATACAGATGTTAAGAATGATGTTCAAGGTGTCAGGGTTATGAGAACTGGTAACTTATGGCCTTGTCTGCTCCTCAAGCAAATCTCACAGGCTTTGCACTAGAGGTACCACAGGAGCCTGCTGCAGCCCTCCAGCATGGGTAACATCAATGGTTATAAAGTAGTCGTGGGCTTCATCCAACCAGTTCCCAGCAAATCCAGGGCTTTGGACTTCTCAGCAAATCCTGAGAGCATACCTTGGACTCCCAGTGACTCCAGTTGCTCTTGGCAGGACGTCACCATTCCCAGGTGCATTCCTGGGTGCTTTTGCCAGCAGGGAGGATGCTTTGCTTCTGAACTGGCCCCTTGCTGACCTGTCCTTGGCAGACGTCCCAATATACAGCCCCTGCACTCCCAAACAACCTCTATTGTTCAAAAGACCTCTCAGCCTAAAACATCGTGGACTCCATAGCTGCAAGAGACCTTGGACACACACAGGCTCTTCACCACCTTCTGGGTGCAGCTTTATGTTGTTTTTCCCTATCTTCTCTCCCATGCACGGAAAATAGAGCAACACCAGTTGCCGTTCAGTTCAACATCACATAAAACTTCCAAATTAAATTTACCCAGACAGGTTAACTAACATGAACACACAAATTCTCAGCCATGCAGGGAATTTTTAATTCCATTCTTCTCCTTCAATGATGAGCCTTTCAACTTCAGACCTGCCCTAATGTTTTTTTCCTAGTATTAACCATCTATGAGGACTATTTGTATTTTGATAGATCTCAAGACATTCCAGGTACTATGAGCAACCTGTCTATATCATGATTAATTCACAAATCAGAAAGAGAGAGAAACAAATAGTGGGGGAGAAAGGTGAACTCATGCACAAGCGAAGCAGTACTGACAGTGATTATATTAGTATTTTGTGTAGCATGTGGAGTAGGTTAAAAAAATTATCAGCACTATTCCAAAATTAAAAACAAAAACCAAATGTGCTTTCCAACGAAAAATTATTGCTTTTCATATTAGGTGCCAGACTTCTGGTTTCAGATTGAAAAAATTGATTTATTTTTTTTTTTCAACCTAGAATTACTGGGTTTGCCCCAGATTTCTAGGTCTTTCTTAGCAGAAGTAAAATTTCTCACAAAATTTTGTGGAGGAGTCAATAAAATGTTAAAAATATTTTAATGTCAGCTCAGTTCACCCACTTCTTGTGGACATTAGTGACATTGCTCAATTTGGAGAAGGAACTGAAAAACAGTTTGTGGAGGTCTTATAAATGCTCTTTTTGAGATGTCCTACAAGTAAAGAAATGGAAGAGAGCATGGAGGGAAGAGGACCTCGGATAGCTGAGGTAACATTACTGTGCAAACAGAGCTTGGAGGAAGAAGACTGTAGAAGTCGGCAAGGAGGTAGAGTAAGCACTAGAAGTTTGAATTGGATTGGCCATGAGAAAAGAGCTGAGATGTGCTATCTAATGAGCCAGACCAAGGGAAATTACAATGTTGAGTAGCTGCACATAGTAAATACCAGAGCAAACCATGTAGGCAGCTGGCAGGCCACGAAGAAACTGGTGGCCGTTCAGGCAAGCAAGACTAGACGGGATATTTAATGCACTGCACACAAGAGAGGTTGGAAAGGGTGGTCGTGGGTTCAAAAGTAAGAAAGAAGGAGAAATGGATGAGGAAACAAGGTGGTATTGCTCTGCTGGACAAGTTCACAGGAGTGCATCTAAGAGAGGTTAGGATTCAGGTTAGAACAGAGTGAGTTATAAAACCATCAGGTAGGAGATGAAGTGATGCTACAAGTATGAAGTATGCTAGATATAATCTGATGAACTCACTGTAAAAATCAGCACCAGAATCACTTTTCCCTATCCAAGCTAACCTTAGCCTTTGTCTCAAGAGGTTGTTTACTCTTTGTTGGTAGTTCGGAAAGAACCTTTACGTCCTGAAAACTGCATTACAAACAAATACGTTAAGATTCTTTAATCCTTTCCCACAGCTGCTGTGTGTTTGTCTTGGAGTGTGCCTTTCTGTCATTTGCTAAATTTCTAAAGAATATGAACAATTGGTGGACAAAACAGGTTTAACCTTGAGAGGGCACAGCTGATCTGTAAGTTAAAATCAAAGGAAGCGAGTAAAGCTCACAGAAACGCTCTGACAGAAACACTGCCAACTGTAAGTACAGAAAGCACAATGCAGTGACCAGGAAATGGACTCTCAGATGGTAATTAGATAAACGTGGATGTTCCCTACTGACAATGGACACCAGTCCTGGCTGAAGGTCTCAGGCGCACAAAGCCACTCCTTCTGCTTCAGAAGACTTTCTGCTCATTTTACTTCCTGAGCTTAACACAACACAACTTGTCACCAGCTGAATGAGTGCTGGGGTGGGAAGAATGAAGTCAGAAAAGAGGATTTGTCGAGGCTATTGTGATAGTAATTCACACCACACTTAGTACTTAGAGGAATGACCCACCTTACAGAGAAGATTATTGCTTCTTGCTGCTTTTGGGGGTACCTGTGTTACAATCTGCAGAACAACCCAATGAACAGACCTGCAAAATCCAACCCAGGAGATCTGAATTGCTGTGAAATAGCACTGCACTGACTGCAGCAATGTTATAGCTTCTCCAGCACAGACACTGCTTTGCTAGCATTGCTGTTGCAAGGAAACTCTCAAATATTAT